TTCACCATCGGCCATCATCGTTGCAGAGTGTAAGTTCATCGTTTTCTTGTACAGTCATTGGCGACTGGATGGAGACTATCAATTGTCAGTGCTTTAAACCCGGTTCAATCACAGGTGGCTACCATCTTTGTAACCCAGGATGTCAGCAGTTGCTGGCTCCGTGCTGTGACCTCTCAACCACCTCACCCCACCGCAGCGAATGATCATTAGCGCTGTGTATTAGATGTGACACACCAAATCTCCAGCATAGAGAGGTGTATATGTTCAATTAGATTATTGTGATAGCTTTGTTCGCCTCAAGCATACTTGTTGTTTATGTTCAGTGGAGGACAGCTCCAGCCATTAAATTCAGTGTAACTTCACTGAGAGACTGTTTGCTTTTGCGTATCTATCAAGCCAACCAATTTAAATTGTCTTCGCATATGACCGTGTACCGTTCTCTTGAAAGCTGCTTTAAGTTAATTGCACATGTATTCATTCTACTCACTATCTGGCCTGCTTGCTTAAATGACCCTGCAAGTTTCTCTGCCTGCCTGCCAGTGCACGTGCTCTCTGTCTCTCTCTCTGCACATGTTCACATGTTTGCATGTTTTCCCAGCTGTATGTCATGCTACCTACCTGTAGCTAAATGGTTTCTTTTTTTTTGCTGGAGTTGTTTGAAGACATGTTTAAAGCCTGTTGGCAGTAGTCTTTGCGTTCCATTTTACTACAACACCTCCTTCTTGTGCACTCATGTGTGTGTGCTTGCGTGGCCACGTAAAACATTAGCAGGAAGTGATATCTCAGTATTGCCTCCTAGGTCAACCTGGTACGGTGTGAAACATCAGCATTGGCAAGACAACAGTAGCTGGACTTTGTTCTGGCCACATCGCCACCTCGTGTGCCTTGCTGCTCACGGACAGCACTTAACCTGATTGTGTATCATGATGTATGGGTGATCTATGTGTGTGTGAGCTTATTTAAACATTATAAAACAATTTGGATTCAAATTGGATCCAAATGTAACCACATCTTCAGGGCCTCTCCACATCATGCCAGTCATACGGGGGTTGTTGGACCATACTGGTCAGTGTGAGTTGCTAAATGATGGTGGGGTGGTCTCTGCGCCCCCTCCTCCCCCTTGACTTCCACTTCATATATCACTCACCACTGATCTTAGCCATGGTCAGGAATCAAACTCAGGTCGCCGTGTATGGCTATGTGGGTACAGTGGAGCCATTAGCACAATGGAGCTCTCGACTACGAGATCCCAGCAAAGGTCTTGGGGGACCGCGGTGCAAGGAATATGGCCGGGCTTCCAGACGTACTGCCGCTAATGATGCGTGAATGATTGCAAAGATGTGCTCGGGCTCAGTTGTCCGAGTGGGTGTGAGCTGATAATGTTTACGGTCAAATTAAATAAACCAAACCGCAACTTTTATTCTTAATTAGTTTTGTGCATTTGATGTATTGCCATATCTCTTCGTACATAAGCTCAGAACGGCTTGAATTTTTTTATGAAGGATACGACAATGGTGCCCTGCTTTGTAAACGTATTGGTTGATTCATGTTTTTTTTTTAAATAACGTTGATAGTTTTCATTGTACGCCTTTTGGCGTCTTCTGGTCAAACACCAGTAGAGGCTCTAAGAAAAGCCGTCTCGGGTGTAGACCAATCAAATTCAAGGACAGTGCATATTATTATCAGAGTTGTCTCTTTTGTTTGCATTTTGACTGCTTGTGTTGTGGTTATTGCAAACATGATGCTTTGAATAAAGGTGTCAGTTTTTGTGCCAGTTAAAAGGGTAAAACCTATTTATATAAGTTTCCATTGTTATTTGTGATGATGGGTGGGGAGCGGTGGTGCAGTGGTGAGCACATTGCGCTTATGACGCCAGCTCGCTGAGATGAATTCGTGGCGACAGTCACAGCAGCTCATGTCAGCGGAGAGTTATATCTGATCCAGTGGCTCCTCCCCCTCCCCTCGTCACCGGCCTACACTGACCAGTGTGGTGAAGTATGGTTAAGCAAACTGCTATGACCACCACAGCTTTATAAATCTTTCATCCAGCAATGTTTTTTTTTATAACAATTGGTTTTACTGGCAATGAAACAGCTGTGCCAAGATGTTAAAGCACCATGCAAGTATGCACAAGTACTGTGCGTGGCTAATGCAGACAGGACTCCTTGAATAAGGATTCTGTTTGGTGTTTTGACATCTTGACACAACTGGTTTATTTCCAGAAAGGGTCAAACCGATTGTTATATTTTAATACTGGCAAGAAAGGTCCCATATTATAGCAATGTTTTTACAAAGTGCTATAAAATTTTATTATTTGAATTATGTATTGATGACGACAATGTGATGGCATCTTTAGAGGTGTTGATAGCTGCGTAATATGGATGTTGGTGGTGATGAAAATTACTGTCACGCAAGCAAATTACGTCGTGCATTCGTTTAATAATGTAAACATTGTAAGTAGTGTATTGCTTTAAAGCTTTCGTGACTGCAGGGATTCATATTCTAGGTTCTTTCGGTAAAGTCACGTAGAAGGGAAACAATAAAATAATAAAAATATGAAACAATAAAATTCTCAGGACGTTTCGACTGCAACACAAGCAATCATCATCAGGTGTGAAAACCACAGCAAGAAAATTTGGAACAAAGTGGCTTTTTTAACGTTAGCACCACGGAGAGCGATTTGGCAGTTATTCAGATGGACGAGTCCATCTATGTTCGGAAATGAGGAGGGGGAAGACGAAAATAATGGATGCTGTCTGAAAGCCACCGTAAGCGTGAACAATCAACACATTACATAAAATCCGTGATCTGGTTCCGTCTGAAAAAGATGTGATTCCAGACATACAGTACCCTGGCGTCTACAAACTAAGTTGCCTCTGTGGTAGTAGTTACATTGGAGAAACCAAACGACACGTCTCGGACCGCATTCGTGAACACAAAGCAGACCTAAAACACGGTAGGACCAACACCTCGGCTGTGGCAGATCACTGTTATAATTCAGTAGGCTCACATGACATTGACTTCTCCAAGACAGGTTCTTTGCAAGCCATCTGGCTACCATGAAAGATTCGTTCATGAGGCTATCCACATATACAAACACAGAGACAATTTCAATCGAGAAGATGGATTCTAGTTTAGCAATCATTTGAAGGATTTGATAAACCATTTCGGGTCTTAATTGATTGTTCACGCTTGACCGCATCCATCCTTTTCGTCTCCCCCCTCCTCTTTTCCGAACATAGATGGAATCGTCCATCTGAATAACTGCCAAACCACTCTCCATGGTGCTAACGTTAAAAAAACCCGCCACTTTTTTCAAATGTTCTTGCTGTGGTTTTCACACCTTATGATGATTGCTTGTTTGCAGTCGAAACGTCGTGAGAATTTTATTGTTTTATATTTTTATTATTTTATTGTTTCCCTTCTACGTGACTTTACCGAAAGAACCAAAAATATAGTGTATTGCTATCTAAATTATACAAACAATGGTCTTTAGATCAAATTATTTTGAGCTGCGCAATTATAGTGGTGGGTGAGATTCTGCGAGTGTGTATCACTCTCCACTCTCGCTACATGTTCTGGTGCTCTGGTTAGCCCACTGGCAGTTTAAACAATGGTGCAAGTCTTTTACCCCCCACCCCTGCTGTCCACCTAACTATTAGGAAGCCACTGTAGCTATGCACTGTTAAATCTAGATTGAAAACCAATTTCTTTAAAACTGCTTTTTGTGTTTAGTTTATTGTCCTTCCCCTGCAGCTCCGATTAGTACGGTGCGAAAGAAGTTGAACACAGATATGTTTAAATGGGTTTGCCACGTGTAGTCCATCGGCAGCTCACGTGTGGTGGTGAGGGTAAAGTGGGGGTAACTCCCATCCCTTCCAAGACTTGTCGGCACAAACACCATCCAGAGAAACTCTCGAGATCTCCTGCGTGCTCGTAGAGGCAGGCCCGTCCGCTAGCAGTTGCAGTGAGCAAGCAATTACAAGGCGGCACCTTTACCGCTGGTAATTCATGGAGCTCCTTGTATCGCCGGCACAAAGATAAATATAAAGATCCCCTGGATAGCCTCAATACACGAGGGGTGGGTGGCCAACACCACGCCCGGCCGCCTTGGTCTCACTAGTGGCGATGTTTACACACCGCATCCGTTACTCAATTGAGGCTGAGTCGACCTCGGGGAGGCCCAGGACCGGTTCAACTAATTGTCACTGCTGTTGGTGGCAGTGAGCAGCAATTGAACTCGGGTTGCCGGGTTCGGACCGCAGCGCGGTAACCACTACACTACCGCTCCGCACACACGAGTACACACGTGCACACAGACGCACGTACACACGCGCACACATGCACGCGCATGCACTACGGCGCGTGGCAACACCAGCCCATCACGCACACGCGCCACTTTGACCCTTACCCGCCGTGCCGGGGGAAATCGGCAAACCTAATCATGCTAAAAACGACCGCCCGCATGCGTTTATTTGATGTGCTCTGCCCTCCATGTAAATTTGCACAGCCTAGTTGGGGGGGTGGGCAGGGCGGATGATGGCATGAGGTTTGGCATGGGGGAGTCAGCGGACAGCTCTGACACCTCCTAAAACAAGAAAAAAACAAAGCCCAAAGTGGCTTTGTCCAATTAATGTCGCTCTGTTCAACCAAACGTGTTTGCCTCAGCCCGGTTCAGTGTGTTTAACCCTGCACTGCTTGCAGGGACAAGTAAAACAATATCAAATCCTGCAGCTCTGTGCTTGTACTTGCTCTGTTGGCGTGTTCAATCTGGTGGGATGGGAGCAGGTTCTGGCTCTGTAGAACGCTGGGTCACTTAGAAGGAAAATGTGCCGGCTCTTATTGCACAGCCTTTGCGTTGAATTGAATGCTTGTGTTGTATATTTTCAGCGTTAGTGGATGGTGCAAGATATGCCTGTGGGTAAAATGAAGAAGAGTTAATGACTGCCTAATTAGAGGATTTTACTGAATTCGCTGTGTGTGTGTTGTTTTCACAACAGGCAGCCTTTCTCCTCCTCCTGGGCCCATTCACCTTTTTCAACGTGCAAAAGACAAAGTACCTGCAGATCCTCACGACGCTAATGAGGTGGATAGGTAAGCATCGGCTACCTGTGTCGGCACGACACATTCTGGATATTTAAAACGTGTTTTTATTCGTGCGCTTAATTCTTGGCCCTCTGTTGTGTGAGGACTGTCTGTGAGTGCATCCAGGGTTTTAATGTGGAAATGTAACAAAAGCATCAGATAATCCAGTCCACCAACTCGGGGCTAAATAACTTTTATCTCTAGTCCGCTGTAAAGGATATTAGTTTAATTCTTGACATCTTTTACATTGCTTTGTTATTGTATTATCAAGAAGAAGAGCAGCATTTGGTGTATCTTTCACTGCTTTGTAGTTGTAATGATTAAACATTTAACAGAAAGGCAAAAGGTCATATTTTAGTTTTTGATTTAAAACTTTCGTGACTGCAGGAATTCATATTCTTTGGTTCTTTCGTAAAAGTCACGTAGGTAGAAAAAATAAAAATAAAATAATAAAAGTGAGCGTACTGGCAGTCTATAATGGAGACTGTCGCGGTCGACCGCTTGTGTTGCGATCGAAACGTCGTAGTTTTTGTGTTTTTTTACTGAAAGAACCAGAATAAGTCTACATTATAAACTGCCAATACGCTCACTCAGGTTCAGTTTAATAACCATTGCTACAGTCTACATTATAGACTGCCAATACGCTCACCAGCTTAAAATCCAGGCTACAATCTACCAGGCTACAGTCTACATTATAGACTGCCAGTACGCTCACTTTTATTATTTTATTTTTTCTATCTGCGTGACTTTAATGAAAGAACCAAATAATATAATATTTTTGCTCTTGTTGCAACGTTTAGGTTCACAGCTTTTTTGATTGATCAATCATTTGTGATCTCATTAGTTTAATTGATGTCAAGTAATTTACATATCTTTTGGTGAATTAAGCTTATTAAGAGGTTTGATTAAACTTTTGCGATACTTGAGAGCAGCTATTTTGTATAAACTTGCCATGAAATAATTTAAGACATTCACACAATTTTAGTTAATATATACATATGAAATATAAATTAGCATGATCGTTTGCAATGAAGTATTTGTAATTGCATCTTTTTGGCATGGAACATTGATTCTTTGCCACGGCTAACATCAGTGGCGAGTCTTATCTGAATTATTCCTCGACCCCAACCTGCCCCCACCCTTTTAATGAACCCAAACTGACCAGTGTGGTGAAGTATGGTCAAGCAATGCCCATGACCAACACAGCATTGGGAGGACTTCACTCACCAGTGGATTGATCAAAGTATGTGAAATGTCTTATTTCGATTAAATTTTATTTTATTATTTCGGGTACATTTAATTATTTTATTTTTATTCTATGATTTTAATTATTATTATTTTATTATTTCCCTTCTACGTGACTTTACCGAAAGAACCAAGAAAAATGTATTTTTGTTATCTCAAATTATATACTATAAACATTTAAGTATTTGTCAATATACTTAAATGTTTATGGAACTTGGAACAACTCGCCTTTCTTCAGCCTTGTTGGTACTTGTGTTTTTCTGTTTGCTTATAACTGGAGACACAATTAGTGCAGAGATTACAAAAGCATTTTTCTAGTTTGCAGTGTTCCTATCTTGAAGTGAACTACCAACCCTCGTGTACGTAACCACCACGTACTGTGTATGTTTGTGTATACATGCACATACACTCGTCTCATTTACACCCACACCACTCATCTGCTTTATGAAATACAAAGAGCAAATTCATTGTATTCAGGGTGTTTCTTTGAGAGCCTCGTAAAAATGCCCTTTCTCTCTGGCTTGAGATGTTTTATTCGGAGTCGCCGTGAACAACTCCCCACAAGCGATGGCCTTTTCCTTTTTGGTCGTTTCATTGGCGACCCTTGAATTTTTTTTTTCCCCCCGTTTACACAAAAATTCAATAAGTGTACGTGTGCGGTCCCGTCCTCCGCTCACCGCAGTGTGAACCTTACTGCTGCCACATTCGTTACCAAGAGTGGCGCAGCGTGCGGGCAATGAGTTGGGGGGCTCCGGCGCGGGGTGCGCTGCTGTGCAGGGAGCCGCGTGTGCCGTAGTGCCACCCACGAGAGAAAAATATGTAAACGATCGTGAAAAACTTCGTCATCGTCATCACTGACTACGCGTGCCGTTTACCTCTGCCATTTATGGCTCTGTACGGAATACCGTACCAGTTTGGCACAGGAAGGGGCAGTTTACGGCAGTTATTATTCTGTGATGATGATTATTATTATTATTCAAAACTTGGCCGCGACACGTTCACCCGCTTTGGTGAACACGTTCTCTCTTTGTCCACACGGTTCACCACCCACTTTTCATGGTTCATGCTTGCTGCCGCCTGCGTCGTGCATAATGTGATGAGGTCTCAGGTTGCCTTCGACCCTGTGAACCCTACAATTGGGGTGACATTACACAACATTAGGTCACCCAGCCAGCACCATAATATAATACAAAAATAAACATAGCTTAATATCAAAGTCAACTGAAATATGTATTCGGTAGAACACGTGCTTCCAAATCACAGTTTTGTTTGTTTGTAACTCTCCCGGGGAGCATTGTGTTAACATACTTTACGAATGGTCTTGTTTCATGTAAAAAAGGAACTGATAATAGTGATTTTATAGAATTAATATTTTTTTCTGTAAAAATGTTTTCCCCAATTGATTTTTTAAAAATGATTGTATGGTAATCCAGAGTAATTGGTTGTCAAAACATAATTAAACCATTCTTAGTGTTTTTTCTGACTTCATATTATGTCTGTAATGAAACGACTGATAACTGCTTAACACGACACTTGTTTTTCCTGCTTCACGTAACCCTACTTGATGGCCAGTGTAATTTATTCCACGTCTGATATAATTTCTAGTATATATTTTTTTATTTATGTATCATTTAAATGCTTTGCAGCACATTGTATAGGAGTAAAACATAGAATTTTCTTGTTTCAATGTTGAAGAATGTTCACGTTTATTTGTAGGGCATAACTCATTGTATTTTCTCTGTTCTCGAATGTGTATTTTTTCTAACAGTTGCATCAAATATATGTTGTTGATCGGAATTTTTTATCTCAGCAGGAAGGGCCCAATACGCTGTGAGGCTGTCTTTCATGAGCATCCTGTGATGGTACAGATGTTCCATGGTACAGATCATATTACAATCATCGTTACATAGGTCACAATCCAAACAGTATCGTTTCTTGCTTTACATGTATGTATCTATGTTGAACTTCTTTCGCAACGTACTTAGCCAGCTCTGCTAGTTGGCTACGTATGTACATGTTCGAGGAAGAGGGAACCAGATGAAAATGTAATTTATTTATTTTTGATATAGCTAATAAAAAATAATGAGCAAAAAAATGGGGACATTTTTGTATTTAAAAAACAAAATACAGTCAGTAACGTTGAACTGTAAAGTGTGATCCACACAGCCTCGGGCTCCTGCTTCTCTGCGGATTATTTATTATGGCTACATCTACGAAGGAACTAGAGCTTCATTGCTCACCACGAGACGGGCTCAATTATAATGTAGTAAACGTGTCTCATTAATCCTTAACGCAGTTTTACTTATCCCACATGTGTGCCACGGTAAAATTGTCTGCTCGGCTTTGCCTCACAGAGGTCAATGCAGATGAGTGTTGTGTAGGATGAAAATATCCAGTTCTTACAAAAAGCACGTGTTTTACGCAGTTAAATGTCCATCTCACGTTCGGTGTTATTTTTGGTATTTGTCCTGGTGGCAAGGGTTAACGTGGAGCGTGTGTAATGGTTTGGAGGTTACGAAGTCTCGCCCACGTTGGGGGGAATTGACCCGATCCTATCAGACTCAAAACTTTCGTGACTTTACCGAAAGACCCAAGAATATAACCCATCCTATAACTCGATAAAATGAGGACCACCTAGTGGAAAGTAGAAAGTGGTTGCTGTGTGGGCAAAGTGGTACTTGCCATGGGAATGCTGGAATGTATACACTGCTGGCTGAGGGGCTACCATCAGAGGTGAGTGGAGCTCCGGTGCTTGTCAAGATACTTTGTATTTCATATGTAAGATGTGAGGAAATATTAATATTTTAATCTTATTGGGTCATGTGTTTGTAAACGTATTACGTACGACGCATCATCACACAAATTTGAAAACATTGATTTTTGCACACGACTAGATGCGTGTAGTGTGAGCTTAAAAGTTAATGTACACCACTACGATAAAATAAATATGTGGAAGAACAATTCTGTAAATCAACAACTCTTATAATTGGTGAAGTAAAGGTGGCCGGACGGTTCAGGGCTGAGAGCAAAGAGGCGGTACTGCTGAGAAATGGGGTTGAATTCTGAGTAGCTACCCACGGTGGAATTGGCCAAACCTCCCAATGCAGAATGCTCTTGAACAAGAGTTGACACTAAATGAGGCTTTGCTCGATGAACAAAGGGCATTGCTGTTATGCCACGACTTAGTGACTGGACTGAGACCATCAAATGAACTACACTTGAGTCTGGTTTAAGAACAGATGGCTTTTTGGATTAGAACACAGGTCTCAGTGGTGCTGGCTCAGAGTGTTGTGACATCAGCATTGTCCCATGAGCCAGCCACCCACTTTTGTTATGAGGGCAGAGTGGACACTCCGAGCTGTCCAGAGCTCTTGGCACAAGGCTGTTTTTCGGTCCCAGCCTGGCACATTTGTTCTACCCCACTGTGCATAGATACCATACAAAGTAGCTTTTCTGTATCCATGTTTTATTTTCGTACACGCATTGCAAAATGCAATGATTGACAAACTATTTTTTATTCAAAATATGCCAGAGAGTGATAAAGTTATGCTTCCCATTACGCAGTTTTGTAGAAAGCACTATTCTTCCAAAGGCGGGCTCTTTGCCGTCACGTGACGTGTTAATATAATTTACCAGTTGGTCAGTGCATTTCCTTTTAGAGAAATGCATTGTTAATCAGTCATCATTACGTGCATATGGCCCTCCACATGAAAGGCTGTCCTCCTTCTCGGCACCATTACTTCTGGGTCTCATGGAGAGCCTTT